TCTTAAATTCTTCAATTTGTTTTCATCAAACTCGTTTTGTTATATTCTTCCTAAAATCAGATCTTCTGCTACACCAATTTCCACCAGCCAAATGTAAACGCTCCGAACGCCTAAAAACTCAACTAAAAATCAGTCATAAAATAAAAGTCCACGCATGTCTTCCGTTTACACTCACACACTCAAGAAAAAAAAGAAAAGCAATACAATCCAGAATTCCCACCCAATAGCACCCACTCCCACCTAAAGAAACAAAAGAAAGACTGGAGCCAAAAGGCCAAAAAGGACATAAAAGCCCATCAAAGGGACATTCAGCAGTTGGACAGCATTTTGACCCGAGTTCACATGCTTGTCAAAAAGCCAATTCTCATCTCCAAAGATATCAGATTCGACCAGCTCAACAGCATCATTGCCCTAGTAAGTCACAATTTACCCTCCTCCCATATGCCTCACTAGATGCCTTTACAACGCCACCTCTTCTTTTCATACAAGAGACATCATTTTTTCATTTATTGTATTTTATGTTAATACAATTATTTATTGCTTTAAATATTTTGTTGTTTCTTCTTTGTTCTGCCATCATACACTTAGTAACATGAAAACACATGTTCATATCATAACAGTTTGTTGGTTTGTGCTATGAAAATAGTTTTCAACAAAGACAAAGAAGTTACCACAGTTCAAGAATTTCACATCTTAATCTCTGTGGAATTATGACAACTACTGAGCAAAATTCTCTTAGAATCTGGTTACCTCCTAGCTTGCTGATATCAACATGTGATGACCATGAAGATCAAAAACTCCACTAATGACAATACCAAGAATACAGGGAATGACTGATCAAATGGGACAGGGGATGACAGATCAACAAAATGAGACTTGTGTCAGGGTTATACCATAATCTTTACTTCCTACCATCTCCTCCTTCTCTTTAATATCACACATCTCATTCATGAAAACCATTTTAACAGTAACCTTCTACAATGAGTGGATCTCAAGGTTTGTATGTTGCTTTAAATGACTTTTTACTCTTTATCATCCCTTTTTGCTTCAGTTCTACCATTCAAACAATTTTGTTAAGTAGGTTACTTGTAGTTTTATCCTGCGACACTTTAGTGTAATTACCGTCTTGGGTATGATGATAAACTACATCCATGTCCTGGGTAGGACTATAAACTACGTCCATCATCAGGGACTCTGATCTGAAGGTTTTGAGGAGCATGGAACCACCTCTTAATTGCTGGTGTTCCAAGGTCTACTCTGACTGTTAGGGTCCCAGCCATAGGCAAATTGGAGTCAAAACACTATTAAAGTGTAAAAATGGGTTTTAATACAAAAATACTTTGTAAAAAAATGATTACAGCAATAAATTTTTGAAAGAAAAATATTACAAGATATACATTTTTGATAAAAAAAAAATTACCAGCAATAAAAATCATGTCAGCATTAAATAACCCATGGAGGTTGATATGCCATAAAATAAACCAAACCAAACCAAATTTAGTGTAATTAATTAATTACTAATTCTTTCTTTCATTATTAATTAAATTTTTCACTAAATTATTTCTTTTATATATATATATATATATATATATATATATATATATATATATATTGAATAATATATTTGACTTGGCGAACAAAACTTAAGTAATGTACCATAAAAAATTTGCTTTTTATAATGCCAAACATTTGAAAAGATCTAGTTTAAGTAGCTGCAGTAAAAAGCAAGAGAAATTAATTTGAAAAAAACACCAGTCAAAAATTAATAATAATTGACTTTCCTATTCATAACAATTTAAGCTTCAGAACTACTCAAATATCTGAGATTAAATTATTTTATTATTAGCTTCTTTTTTAACTATTTTATTTTCAACTTATTTTGTAGTTTTTTTAGGATAAAAGCTGAAGTCATTTTTAGATTCTATAACTTCTATGGTAAGGAATGGCTTGTTAATTTTAACGCTTCCAAAACAAAACTGCTCTCTATCAATCATCTGACAGATCCCTTTCTACTTTCCATCAGCTGATGTTAACCTCCAGGAGAGTGACTTGTTGTGCCCTCTGGGGTTAACATGACATGAAGTGGAAAGATTATATTGAACCAACTGTTGGTTCACTTTGTTGTGCTAGACAATTTTTCTCTCCAGAATCTATCTTAAATATTTATAAGTCTACCATTCATCCATACTTTGAATATTGCTACCACATATGGTCTGGTGCTCCTGCAATACATTTAGAGATTCTTGATAAAAGTCAAATAAGAAATGCAATGTTATTGATCCTGACCTGGCATCTCAGCTTCAGTCACTTCTCCACTGCCATAATGTAGTTTCTCTGTCTTTTCTATAAATACTTTCATTAGTAATTGTTCCAACGAACTTTCCTCTTTGGTAGGTAGACTTTATGAATTTAAGCGCAGTACTAGATTTGTGGCAAGGTTTCATCATTTTACAGATGAAATGCATAGATGTAACTATAAGTTCTATGCTAACAGCTTCTTTTCTCACACTTTTCACTTACGGAACTCTTTTCCTGCTTCTAGCTTCCCAGTCAACTTTGATCTTCAAAGATTTAAATGTAATGTCAATCACTATCTTCTGTCTTTTAAATTCTTGTTCTTTTATTATTTTCTCTTAATATTTTTTCTCATACTCTATAACACTAAGTAACCCCTTGCATCTTAGTGGCTTTATTGCCTTGCTTGGGGGTGAAATGATTAAAAAAAAAAAAAAGTGACATTCATCCAGTAAAAACTTTGAACAACTACATCTACTAGTTGTAAACAACTAATATGATTTAGAGAATATGATCATTCAGAATGTAGTTATAAAAGGAAATTCAGTGTGATATCATAGGTACTATCATTGGCTGATTAGTAAGATGCTGTTCATGTCAGAGACTTCAAAGGATAAGTAAGTGATGCAAGTTCAAATCTTGATGGAGGCTAATTCTTTATTTCCAAATCCATGTTGCTTAACAGTCATACAATGTAAATGTGACTTGAGCATTGGTGATAAATAGAAAAAAAAAAAGAAAAAGTGGTGGTGGGATGGGTGTGGGGTGAACCAGTCAATAAATTTCTGAGTTATGCAGTTATATGGACACATATGGAAATACAGACACAAGAAATTATCTTCTTCTGGTTATCAAAAACCAAAGATTTTTCAAGCAGCACTTATTAATTTTTTTTTTTTTTTGGGGGGGGTTAATACCAATGTTTTTTTCCTTGTTTTAATATTAATGTCTATGAGATAAAGTGGTCAAAGTTGGTAATATCCTGAGGCTTACACCACTGCTAGAACTGTAAGATTAATCTTTTTTTAAAACTAATGTTCACCCAATACAAGGCCCAAGAGCTACTTAAGGTACAGGGTTACTATATGGTGTTGCATAAGAAAAGTCAAGAAGTAAAGTTCATGAAGTTATGCAGAAAAGCTAACAGTTAACCCTAGAAGAGGTCAAGATTATAGTAACTGTGAAAACATTCTGTTCCACAAAGCAGTCATTCTTGGGAAAAAGCTGTCTGAGTGGAACATACTTCTTGCTAATGAAATACAAAGGGAATGAGTATGATTCATCCTTATGTATGTGGCATGGTGAATCCCAGGTGCAAAGGTTAGAGCTAGTAGAACAAGAAACGTAATGTCAGAAAACATGCCATGGAAATAGTGATAGAATAGCAAGAGACTCGCAATTTTTTTATCTGTAGGAAAGGGGTCATAGAGTGAAAAATAATTCATCACCCACAAGGCCGTGTAGACACTTTTGAACTCTATCAAGACAGGCAAGTTGAGGACGGGGCAGCTTCAACCCAGATATGACAGTAATACTTCATTTTTGGTTTGATCTAGCTTTTGTTAAGATAGAGTGTAGCAGGGGGAGTAAGATACTCATTAGAACAGTGCAATGAACCGACCATTTTTCCAGCATCTTTAGCAATAAATCATATATAATGTTCTTCAGTATGGTGATGTAGTGGATATAGAAGTTGGATATAAATGTGTTTTTATCATCTAGTGGTCACAAGTTCAATCTTTGGATCAGAGTGTGAAACACTGTTTCAGCAGGAACAAACAACAGTCATCACAGGGAAAAAATATAATAATCAACAGATATCCCAGCCAATTAATGAACATCTGATGATAACCATAGGGTACTTGGTTGAAACATTGTGTCTATAATAACATTTATATCAACCAAAATAAGAACAATAGATTGAAATCCCAGAAATGAAATACTAAGGTTTCTAACAATTAAGGATGTTGTAAAGATACAAGAAATTCATAATCAGAGGGTTTAAAATTGAATTAGTTATTTTGAATGGACTTCATTTGTTCTGGCAAAATGGATTATTTGGCATGATTCTGAAAAAAGAAAGAAAATCAGTGATGTGCCTATAACAATTAATCATTCATATGATTATAGTGGACATAAAATGAGGGATCGGTTTTCTAGTGTTATCAAGTAATAAACTGACTCTCCCCACGAATTACTACATAAAAATTTTCTCATAATATAAAGGACTTGACAAAATAACAGTTTTTCCCCCCCACTATATTCAAAATACAATTTGGAATCAAAGAAAGAAGGTAAACTAAAGTTTTCTTTATAAAGAAAGACGCAACAATTCTTTAAGTAATCATAACATGTCCCGCTGGTTACTGGTACCATCTTAGTACTACCTACCTCATCCTTATACAGTTTGCAACTTGTGTGGATGAGAAGATTGGTTAGCAACCCAATAAAACAAAGACCTGGTCAATGCTAAAGTTCTCTTAAGAGCTAATGGTCAGCTAGCTCGAGATGGTACCTCAATATAAATATTACCACTATAGTGATGTTGTAATGGTAATACTTCAGCGATCAACCTTTAGCTTCTCATGTTAGACATGTCTAATAGATGTTATATGGCCATCATGAAAACAGTACTGCCCAAGAAGCTGAAAAAAAGCTTACTGTAGGTTACAATAATGTTTAGTTAATAAAAATATTGTCTTTACCTTGTGAAATGGATGGTAGAAATGAAGATGTGCCAGCCTGTAGAGAGCTTTATAATGTGTGGGAAACCTGGAAAGGCAGAGATGAAGAGCCCCAACAACGACATCCAACAATTCTTTGTGTCTTTGTACTCTGGATTTGGGGTTCACAGGAGGAATAGGACCTGGATTAGAGTTACTGCCTGATAGACTAGATACACTGTCCATAACTGCTTCGTTACTAATCTCGCTGGGTTCATCTTCAGAGCTGACAGATTTGGGGAACGCTTTTGGCGGCGATTGAATCGTATTATCTGGAACGCTGTTGCTACTGTTGACTGGATTATTTGATATTGGTACATTGTTTGTCACCGGTATAGCAGAGCTGACAACTTTGCTACTGCAGTTGCTATCACTGACACCGATGTGAGAGGCAATGTCCGATGAGCCTCTACTTTGTTGCTCTTCACTTGAATGACCAGTAAAGTCGGGGTCAAGAGCAAAGATGTCACTGTTATCTGTTCGAAATGTCTCTGATTCGAGCAAGGCATTCAGCGAGTCCAACGCCTGGCTAGTAATAGCATTGGCATCAATGGTCGAGTTGAGGTAGTCCTGGTTGACTGTTGTGGTGAACTGGTCATCGAGTCCAAACACCGGCTGACTGAGGTCAATTCGACCCAGACGAGGAGGGGCTTCCACCTCTTTGCTGGGAGGAGTTACTCTTAGTGCATCAGATGACACTGTACTCTTATAGCCAGACTCAGAGTCTCCGACCATGTCAGGCAGAGGAATGTTCTTCTTTGAAGAACTGTCCTCTGTCTTTGTCTTGTCTGATTGGGGGGCATGGTCATCAGGTTTTTCTGACAACACAGAATGGCTAGAACTGTCACTGCTTTTTTGTCGGAAATAATTATGATCCTGGTTGGAACGGACATAGGAAAATGATGCAGATGTAGATGTTGTCGTCATGGAAACTGTTGCAGATGAGGTTGATGTTGTTGGAGCTGTAGTGTTTGTTGCAATGGGTGTAGATGTTGGATTAGGTGTGGTAGTTGTGGCAGTGGTAGTGGTGGCGGCGACAGCAGTGGCAGCGGGAGTAGTGGTGACGGCAGTGGCTGTAGTGGCAGTGATTTGGACAGCAGCTGTTGTTGTGATATTAACAATAGTTGGAGTGATGGGTGTAGCTATAACAGTTGAAGGCTGGTTGGAATAGACAATCTCTTCAGTTCCAGTCCACGATGAATCTTTGCTGGAAGAAAAATAACATTAATTTGATAATGAGAACTTATGAAAAACTGTCTTTATAATATGTTTATTAAGTGTGTCAGTTAAAATGTTTTAATTATTTGTCTTATATGATTGAAATAAAACTTCACCAATAAAGAATGACAATTACTGCACTGGCAAAAGATTTTACAATTTTATTATAATTATGAACAAGAACTATATATTCAATTTTGTCAATGAAATCAAATAAATCTTTAGCTTATTCTTCCGCATGTATATATATATATATATATATATATATATGGATGGATGGCCATTCATTTTCAAGGATGCCCATCTACTAGGGCAACTAACTAATCCCTGTAGCAGATGCCTGCTCAGGCACATTTCTGTTTGTTCAACACCCACAGAGTCCTCCCGTGTTTTATACTGCAACTATACTGAGCAGATCTTAGTGACAGTTTCTGGGAGAGAGCATATTATCTAGTGTGATCAACAGTTTCAAATTGGCCAGCATGCTAAACCCTCCGTCACAATGATTGTGACTTTGTGTTAGCGCAACCATCAACAATTCTCAAACGAATCTGTATACATAATTTCACTCACAAGGCTTGGGTCAACCCGTGGTATAGTTTTCAGAGACTTTACAAAGGTGCTGAACACTGAGATCACCTTCTCCAATTTGATAGCATCAAGAAATCACCTTCCTGAAAAAAAAGATCATGCTCAGATTTGAACACGGGTCTCATGGTTAGAAAGCAAATGTTCTAACCACTCATCCACATGTCATATATATATATATATATATATATATATATATATATATACATACACACAAATACACTTTTTACTGGATACTCATGTTTTAAATAAACGTCCCATTTTTATTTTTAAACAGTGTGTATATCAATAAGTCTACACACCAGAGAAAATCTTAATGAAAATGTGCACATTAAGATTTTGTCAATGCCAAGTTGCGACCGTCTGTTTTATAGTTGAACACAATTTTCAGACCTGAGGTATAGTTATTTCTTCAGGCCTAAAGATTGTGTCTAAGCATGAGGCAAACTGATGCTGCTGGGTGTTGACCTCAATGGTCACTTTTATATTTACATATGCTCTATCACTGATACTGAGCATTAACCAATAAATATAGCATACTTTAAAACTATATCGTATCATACACACACACACACATATTATGTGTATATATATATATATATATATATATATATATATATATATATATATATATATATATATGCTGCAGTAGAGTCCAGCGTTGCCAGGGGATGTA